GCTTCAATCCAAAGGATTTTTAGTATAAATCAATAAAATATATTTCATTACTCAAAGTGAACTGTGATTCACTATGTAGTTTAAACTTTAAGAGAATGAATCGGTCAAAGTTTGCCGTGAAGTTTGGATTGTCAATAAGTGAAGCCGAATAAGAATTGCTCAAATGTAGCTGAATGGAAGAACTTCAAGGGTTCTTTGTGAACAACAAAACGGAATATTTGGGAAGTGAACATATAAAATCGGTTTGGGACATCCAGAAGGAGCGATGAAGCACGTTGAATTGAAGAATATCAGCTGAAGCATAAGAAATCGAGATGAAATGTTTTCCCAACTGAATGTAATGTATAAAAGGAGCTTCAGTACAAATCTCATTTTGCTAAAACGTTTCATTTTCCCCAAGGTAATACCGAGCTGAATCTTTTTCGCATTTAATGTCACTCTACTCATTAGTACTAAAACAAGAGAATCGAATGGTAACCAAGGGAAATATCAGTGCTTTTGCGATGAAGTGTTGCAAATTTGGTTACTCAAACAACTTTTGATAAACACGAACAGTATAGGTGGGATAAAACACAAGGAGCTGCTGAACACTGCCAAGTAGATTCAACGGGAATAATAGATATATTACAGTGATTATGAGTAATCAATAAAACTGTGTTGCACTTAAACAGAGACAGAATAGGGAAAAACTCTACATTCATTCAAATCGAATCGAAAAAAGGTCACCGTTGATGAACCATGAGGATCCATGTTTCCAGATTTTTGTCCAACAGAAGGGTTAAGAACTGATCCGAAATTTCATTTGGCTCCTCTGTGTGATTGGAATCTTTTCCTCCATCGATCGGACGATGTTCAAAAATTGAAATAAAGCATGTTTGGATCTCACCTCATATTTACTTTTCTGGCGGAAAGTAGATCCAGAAAATATCACTGATTGTAGGGCAAATGAATTTCAAAAGAAAAACATAAAAATGAATTTATTTTAATCAACCGAGGTTCTTTGAAAATTTCCTTTTCACTTTGTATTTGTTACCCGAAATCACGAGCTGAGAAATTACCCGGGGAATCACGGCAGGCATTGATTTGGCAGTGAATAAGGCTGTATTGGGATCATATGGCGAATTAATGCGAGTGACATACGTAGATAAATCATGTTGCGCCAGATGTGTGGTGTCCATGAGAATCATGGTTTCGAACTTTCCCCCGGCTTCGATGGGACAAATATGCAATAGTCTGATGAGGTTGTCAACGGCTTTAAGAACTAATTAATTTACGATGGTTATAGAGAGGTAAATCAATACACATGTGAAAGAGAAACGAGTACAGAGAAGTGAGTACTGGTTAATGAACGACAAGGCAGAATATATATATATATTTATATTGAAGGATTTACTATTGCTTATTATAAATTCAGTCTATCCGATGACTTTTCTGCATGTATACCTCACCTAATTTAAGTCCCGAAAAGATTGGTGCGATGAGGCCACATATTTTGCTCTGGTTATGAGCAACAGATTTTCTCAAGGCAGATTATTGTTAGATAACATAATCTTCATGATTGTACAGCGAAATACAGTGAAACGAACGTCGTGGATAGCTGTCAAGCTCGCTGCTATTGGTAACCTACCATATACTTCAATGTCTCCCATTAACCAGTTGAAGAGTCGGATTCCAACCTGGAAGGCGTGAGACACNGATCGGCTACAGCGAATAAAACGCGGTGCGGTGGACGACAGCTGGTCACACACAATAGTTGTCCTAGCCAGCGAAGCCCACTAATCTGGATTCGATGAGCCAGTAAGTTTATGCCCGACAAACTCCTAAACACAAGATGGCTTACCTCCAGGTTAATAACCCGTTCGCTCCATCTCACGTGGATCAACACGGATACTCGAGAGCTTCTAGTCGATATATTCCTCAAAGCCCCAATTCAACGTCTCACAACCATAAAGCAGAAGTGAATGAACGGTAGCATAATATACCCGATCTTTCAATTTCCGTGAAACGTCGCGTATACTCCAGAGGTATTTCAGTCTTGAGTACGCTGCTGGAGCCTTTGAAATGCGGGTGTTTATCTCCTTTGCTGTGCTATCGTGATGAGTCACACAAATTCTTAAGTGGGAAAAGCAGTCCACCATAACTAATTCCTGGTCATTTAGTTTCAAATTGGGATTAGGCGAAACGTAGTCTTGCAGCTTCCCTTTAATTTCTGACGGTGCATAACACATACCGAATCTGGCAACAGCACTAATTAGTCCATCAAGTCCGCCTTGTGCTTCTTACATAATTTCGAGCAGACAGATGATGTCATCGGCGTACACTACATCGCACAGTTTTTCTTTAGCTGCCCATTCTATGCCTACATTTGTGAGATCATTTAGTGCGTTCTTGAGTACTTCTTCTACGAGGAAATTGAACAGGAATGGCCGAATAAGACAACCTTCGCAAACGCCACTGATAGTGAAGAACGGCCTACTCAGTTCGTTATAAAAACCCTCACTCGACCATAGGTATGTAAGTACAGTGAACTCAGTAAGTTAACGAACTTCTGTGGTATTCCTTCTCAAAGAAGGAATCCATTATAGTTTCGCGATGAACTGAGTCGAAGTCTCCTTTCAGGTCAAAAAGTTCTGCAATCGTTGGTCGACGGTGGGTGTGACACAACCCAAGGACGCAACGTAAAAAGTTGATCAATACCTACTTATCCAGGCCGGAATTAGGCACTCTATTCACGGGTGTTGATCTCTGTTATAGGAGTCAGATGCCTAAGTGTGACGAAAGCTAGCACTTTGGTGACGATTGTGATCGAAATTATCCCAAGGTGATTATCGTAATCGTTGAAATATCCCTCCGTAAAATTGAGGATGATCAATGATTCGCCCCAGGATGAAAGAATGCTCTAATACGTCCAACTGCTGTGCAGTAATTTAATCATAGAACTTACGGGATTATCATTTCCCATCTTAAAAACAGTAAGAGGGATCCCGTGCGGTCCTGCTACCTTTCCCCGGTCCAGAGCTTGAATGCAAGATCGAACTTCTGTTTCTGCCGGAGGGTTGCTTGTCCTTGTCAAAGGAGCTTCAGTTTCAAACGAGCTAATCTGGCTAGCACCAGGCCAGCTGGACTGTTCGCTGAAATATTCTGTCCGGCAATCGAGTCGTTGATCCCTATTTTGCATAGCTTGTCCCCTCTTATCAGAAACTGTTTCACTAACTAGAGTTCGCCGACCTCCCGTATTGCGTATCCGTCGGAACAGTCTTTGACTATTCCCTGATGCAGCTGCTACTTCCATTTCACTAGCTATTGTTGCCCACCAGTTCTCACGGTCCTTCTTGAGGCTCTTCGTGAGCCGACGTTGTAGATGCTGCCTAACTCTATTTTGATCCTGGCAGGTAGGGACTTGCCGTTTTTACTCCATCAGAGCCACTGACTCCTGAGATATCCAATGCCTCCGTCGGGTTTGAGGCTCAGACCCACAAGCAACATTCGCTGCGGATTGCATTGCTCGGCTAATCTGATCCCACTACTATTCTACACCATCGCGTTGCGGCGCACTTAGCTCACGCACTATCTCTGACTATTAGCCTGCATGACGAAAAATCTAACGTGCTTGTCCATAGGTCACAATGTAGGCTTACTCAACACCAAGAAGATCACCTGGATTGAAAATACTGTTAACGGAGCCTTTGAATTTGGTCGCACAGTCCGTTTCATTGTCGGACTCGGAACTACAAAATCACTCTTCACTGGATTTTATCTAGGATACATGTCCTTTGCTGCCGTAGAAACCTTGCGCGGCTATGGTCATTCTAAATTCTGTGAAATACTCTGCTGCCTACATGAAGGAACTTTAAATTATTGACCACTGGATTTTACCTTCTTTTGGAAAACCGTTTCGTAGCAGAGAGAGCAGAATTTAGGGAAATCTCAAAAAATATTTCCCAGAAAACACTGAGCTGGTCGATAGGTCGCAATACACAAGCGCTTAGTTTTCGACATCTGCATTCCAGCTGTCATTAGTGGAAATGTGCGCTCCCTGCTGGGTAATATGGCAGAAGTAATAGATCTGACAAGGAGACATGAATATTCAAAGGTTGGTGTCGTAATGCTTTAGGAGACCTGTCTTCACAATTAAATTGATGAAAACATTGTCAAAATTGATAATTTTCCATTTACCGAGTTGACCCACCCGCTCCGGTTCACAACAAAGTGTGGTGTCATCACGTACATAAAGAACGATTGGTGCAAGTCAAGCAAACGAATTTTCGTATTTTCTACTATTTTTATCTGTACAAATGCAGACATAAACACCTCATAAACTACCACAGCATTACTTTTGGTAACGTTTATATTTATCCTTCTTGTTCCACTGATCATTTTATTGAGTTCACAGAAATGTTTTCCACTGCTATTACTAAATTCGAATATTTGAATCGTGTGTGGTGATTTCAATAGGTTTGATGGAACGTTTTTGACCACAAAACGTTGTTAACTTTCCAACCAGACTCGAGGCTTGTCTTGATTTGTTTCGTTAACGACCTGAATTTATTCAACGCGCACATCCTATTGGCACCTCTGATCATGCAACAATGAAGTCAAAGTCAAAATCAAAGTTTTATTATGGGAAATACAAGCGGTTGCTTTTCTAGTCCCATGGGATTTGGCGCAGATGAATCGGTTCACAGTACATACAAAGTAGAAGAATGTCACAATGTCACAGTTTGTCCTTGTTTCGTGCACTTCTACGGATGTTAAAATTTAAGACTTTTCAAAGCTTCATCCAGATTGTGCTTGAATGAATCAATTGTGGGTGCAGAGACAACGTGTGGTGGTAGAGAATTCCAATTAATGCACACTCTGAGGGCAAATGAATGCCGCCGGCATTCTAGTCCGCATTTTTGGAGCTCTAATTTGAATGAATGCCACCGCAGGTGAGTGTTGGGCGACAAGGAAAGGAGTGGACGACATAGGTGGTCTGGGTTCCGCATTATTTGGTATACCAAGATCAAATCTCCTCGAATGCGGCGATACTGTGTGGAGTACAGTTGCAGTGATTCCAGTCTTTCCGCATAACTCTTGGAATGTAGTCCTTTTACCATTTTGGTAGCCATTCTTTGTGGACGTTCCAGAATCTTTTGATCGCGTTGCAGCCATGGATTCCATGCTTGAATGGCGTACTCTTTGTGGGGTCGAATGTAGGCTGATAACAATCTTGGGAACAGCATAGGTTCAAATTTGCCAAACACTCGTTTTAGCAAACCAACGTGTCTTACAGCGGTAGACGACGCCCGGGAGCAGTTTAAAGAACAACTTAGGCCGACTTGAACAATGACGCCGAGATCCTTCTCGTTCGAGGCGTATGGAAGTTGTTGATCTCCTAGAAAATACGGGAAAATACGAGAACCATCAACCACGATCCACAACAGACCAAATCATCAGTTCTACACTGGGCATCGCGATCTTCGTTTTCGTCGGCGTCAATGTTGACCCAAAAACCTCGCCCGACCAAGATATCAGACAGATTTCTCTCTATTTGTACATATTGACCCCTCTACATTTTGTGATAATCTGACGGAATATTTGAAGTTCTGTTATGATACTTGCCACCCGTGGGAAACGTCATACCTGCGGTCAGACCGTTTTTGGTCCTCCACACTTAAACGATTACGTCGAAAGAAAGAACAAGCTTTTAAAGCAAAAAACTCTTTTGTGAGAGACCACTCGAAAGCAATCTAGGCCGAACTGTGGAGATTAAACACCGTTCAAGTACATGCTTTGTTGGCCAACAGGAATTGTCGCTATCCATGGAAACTGTTGTTTTAGTTCTGCGGTCTCAAAATGAAGGATACTCTTCCAGCTGCCAAAGTGGACGATCTCAGTTGCCAATTCAGCAATGCTGAGACCGACGTCCCTGTTTTATGCACAACAATCGTCCTTCCTTATTATTAATTTAATTACGGATCAAACCGAAGTATTCAAAACTTTCATCACTCCTGATGGACTGCCACCTGTGGTGCCCAATGAATCTGCAGTTTCCCTCTTTACTGTTTTGACCGACCTGCTTAAACTGTACTTTACTCAATATTGCATTCCGGACTGCTGGGGAGTGGCTCTTATCACGCCAGTACCCAAAACGGTAACGTCTAAGTTTCACCCGATTGCTTGAACGTCTGTTAGTATGAATGTTCTGGAAAATATTTTACTACAGAAGATGTTGTCCCAGCTGAATGCACCTGATCCCACTCAATTTGGTTCCAGCTCGACCATCGATGTGTTGAAATTACCCATTCATTATGTTTTATCTTCCTTTGAAGGAAAATGTAAGGCATTTTTGACTGTTTCTTTGATTATAGTGACGCCCTTAATTGTGTTATAGGCCCAAAGTTCTTCACACTATCTCTAAGAAAGTTATGCAACCGGAGCTTACTAATGTGTTACGTAAGTATTGCACCCATCAATTGCAGTTTATTAAATATAAGGGTTGCAAATCTTCACTTTTACCCTCCACTCAAGGAGTTATTCAAGGAGCTATTCTCTCTCCCTTCTTGTTCACAACCTATATTTCTTCAATGCCTGCTTTTGATGACTGTTTTCACATTAAGTATGCCGATGATGTTGTGTGTGGCATGAAGTTCTCAAATTCCTCCGTGTTACCCAACCTATGCACAATATTTCACCGCTCATTAACTGATTCTCCCAATGCAACCTTTGAATGAATCATTCCAAGTGTAAATATGTCTTATTGTCTTTACTGAAGGGTGACTCATACATTGGTGTAATGAACTCTTGCCAGCATGTCATCATCAGTGGAGAACAAGTTTCTAGTGCATGCTCCGTCAAATACCTTGGAGTCACCATTTTCCGTAATCTTCCTTGGTCTCCTCCTGTCGTCGAGGCATTTTACAAAGTTTGGAAACTCACATTTCACATTGTTTGTCTGGAAATACTATCTACCTCAACTCACTTAATAAAACGTTTTTTCTGTTGTATCCTTCCCCACTGGCGTCATGCATCCCCAGTTATTTTTCCGATTCTTTCAATCAAAGACTTCAAAATCATCCATCAAACACGTATGTCTATACAGTGCTATATCTCGTGAACATGCTGTGCAGTTTATTATTTCACAGCACTTTAGGGCTTGCCCGAAACCTTCCACCAGAATACAACTAGATCCATCTCCTCCTCGGTACTTTTATCTTATTAAATTTATCTCTACATCTGGCACTCGCTCCAAGTATAAGCATTTAGAAGCACGCAACATAACATACAAGTCTTCTGTAATACCGTAAATGGCACGGTTTCTTACTGAGGCCGATCTTCTAATTGCCACAGTTAGACAAAAACAGCCAAATTGGCCTTATTTGTTTGCACATGCGGCGTATCATCATACTTTTTGTTTTTACCATGCCGTTTCCATATAAGAGTGATTGCGTAGTAACTCAATATTCATCCCCCATGGGGCAAATGAAAGCGGTTTCTTGACTTGACTTGATCATGGCTGGCCACCGACAAATGAAAAATGAAAAGCAGTCTGATCAGCTGCCCGGTGGCGTAGTGAGTAGTATGCTTGCGTTCTGCCCATGAAGTCCAGGGTTCGATCCCCAGTTGGGTCGATGGATTCGCACTGCTTATGAGACCCAACCAGGTAGAAACAGCTGCCCAGTGCTTCCTAGCCTTTCAGTTCACGCTTCATTTGCTAAATACACTACGAATTCTCATTCGAAATTTAATGGAGATTGTTTGGCACAGATAAATTTGACTTAAACTATTGCTCTTAACACTCGGGTACTACGCACTGAGCAGACGTTACAATAAGTCGTTCATATAATGCTTTCTTTTAAGAAAACGTTGATCGTTATTTTCAAAACAGTTGCAGTTCTTGGGGATTCCCTCAAACACGCAAAACGTCGCCAACAACCTTCAAAGTTGGTATGCAAAAATGCGTTTTGATGCTTACGCGGAGTCTTAAAATTTTCACTCGACCCCAGCGAGTCAAAGAAATTAATTTTGTTCTTTTGGCGGCTTCAAAATTTCACTTTACAAAATAACCGAATAATATATGTCCTGTGAACTCTGAGAACGAAAGCGGGGAGGTTCAGTCACATTGATATGTAAAAGACTCAACCATTTATTGCCTTCCTTGATACTGTCAAGTCAAATCACCAAAGTTGCATTCAGTCAGCCTATTGGTTCACCTTTTCAACCGCTAACCATACTACCAGACTCTTCATTGAAGTTGTAGATATTAACCACGTGCAGGAGAACCCAGGTCAGTCCAAGTTACACTGAAGAGCGAAATGGATGTTGAGAACGTCTTTATTTCGGGTTACCTCTTGAGAAGCAGTTCCAGTACCACAAGAGTTTTCTCTGATAGATCATGGGCACAGCGCGGGCAACACCGGAACAATCCCGAGGGTGCACGGGAGGTAGAGAACAAAAAGGTTGTTCTCATTCATGTGGTCCCACAACTAAATGATTCTGATGAGTCCAGATGCTACTACAACGACTATGAGGAGTGATGTTTCATTAGGAACCTAATTAACGGCCGAGGTGTTTTACCACATCAATCAGTCGTTCTACTTGTTCACCAACTTACCAAAGTAACGACCCACAGATAATGAAGTTCAATCTCAGCACACCAAAAATGGCAATCAATCTTGGGAACTAAACAAGAAAAAGGACAACCAGAACTGCGCCTGAGACCTATGATTAAGACTGTAGTACCAGAATTTCCACTCTGTGATAACGGTACAAATGCACAATCGACTCATGCTTCAAGCTCCCCTCCACAATTGGAGCATCAGAGTACCAGGGCTCCCTTCCCCAGATAATGTTAGCCGACCATGACAGGGTCAGTAATGAATCTAGTTCTCACCTAAAGGGACTTTTACACCAAAAACATTTGACCTGTTGCTATACCATTGCCCAAGGTCTCCGCAGTAAGTTCTCCGAACTGGTGTTACGTTTCCAATCCAGTCAGTGGGATATCATTGCTGTTACCAAAACTTGGTTGATGGTTGACATTCTCGACTCTGGGCTGTGCATGTCTCTTCTCAGACGCGATAGTCCAACACGTGGGGGTAGTTTTCTACTTTACCACCGAAGCGATCTCCAGTGCGATGCAGTTAATTCTCCTGTTTCAGCCCTGACACAATTTGATGCAGACTGAAACTGTCGAAGCACAATGACTGTCTTATTGGAGTGGTCATTCGTTCTCCCTCATCCATGGTGTCGGCAAAGGATATACTTTTGCAAGCTATTTCACAAGTCCTATCTTCCAAATTTAGTTATATTCTAATAATGGGTGACTTCAACTGCCCGCATCTTAATCAAACAATGACCTCCCACTCATCGTTCCAAAGTCAGTTTAAACAGTTAATAGACTCCCATCCGCTTTACAACTACCTGAAGGAGCTTACGAGGTTTGAGAACTTGGAAACGTCGTCAATGCTGGATCTGGTATTAACCAACGAAGAGCCTATGGTCGAATCCATTGATGTCTCAACCACCCCCCATTAGGGCGTAGTGCCCATGCAGTATTGCTGTTCAAATGTCTCCTACGCTTCGATAGAAAGAACTCCGCAAAACAATCTACGTCTCGCCACGGACTATACTAGACTGCAGAATTTGGCTCAATGCACTTAGTGAATCTTTCCTGGGGACGTAGGTGACCCATTGGTCACCTGGCAAGCATTTACGGACCGACTCACAAATCTGATCGCCTCAATTACTAAGGTTGTCAGAAAATCAGGGGCCCAAAACTCGCCGATTCACAGTCGCAAAAAAATGGATGCCTCTATGCAATCGATTTTGGCGAAAATACAATCGGTTTCCGACTGACAGCACCTGGAATAAATAGCCACCATTGCGAAACCATTGTACCCAATTGGTGCGGGGGGATAAGCTGAGGTACCCAGAGACGCTCTCACGGAAGTTTATTTCCAACCGATTGTTACCATACAAACATGTCAATATATCTAGGAAAGTAAAATATGGAATACCCGCACTCAGCTGCCTTGGAAAAGCTACTAGTAACACCCAGGAAGCAACTGAGATGCTGAAAAACCAATATGCCCAAGTTCTCGACACACCCAACAACGCGAGACTGCGGTTACCTCGTAGGATACTCTTTCTTCCAAATCCACCACTGACTACCTTCATGTTTGATGCCAACATAATGAAATCAAAGCTTCTGGGTCTACCTAAGTATTCGGTTCCAGGTGCA